TTAAAGATATAAAATACACCTATACCATGTGTGCACATTCAACATACATATTTGATTTTCTTTTTCTTAGAACAGAGGAGCATATGAAGTCGTTTTATATATAATAATGCTTTTAATACTCTCCTAGGTTATTTTATTTATTTATTTATTTATTTATTTATTGGAGACAGGTGAGCGAACTGGAACGTATAGATAGATAATCTTTTAATATTTATGAGAAATTATGACATGGGATGACCGTACTATCTCGGGCAGTGTGGCGGCATCCCGCCTATTAATTATCCCTTTTTTTTGCCGATTTATTTTTTTAATACTTTAATTGATATAAGACTTTATATATAACGAACGCATCATAAGTCTACATACCAATTAAACAACAAAATGGCCAAAGCACAAAACGGCAACGCCAATTTTAAACTCATCTTGAAAGTAACACGCTCGCCGCCGGTACTCTTACACCCCGCCGGAGAGAATCCGGCGGCCGGCGACGGCACCTACTTCCTGTCAAACCTTGACCAAAACCTTGCGGTCACGATGAAGACAATCAACTGCTACGCACCGAAAGATGGCCGGAGCACCGAAAACGCCGGCGAGGTCCTGAAAACATCGCTGGAAAAGGTACTCACTTACTTCTACCCTTTCGATGGCCGCTTCGGAGTCGACGAGGGAGGAAAGCTCGTCGATGAACGGCGGCGGTGTTCCGTTCGTGGAGGCGGTGGCGGAGTGCGAGATGGAGGATTTGGGTGACGTGTGTTCGCCGGAGCCGGAGATGTTGGGAGAGCTGATTTATTTTCCTCCGGCTGAGAGTATCTTTGAAATGCCGCTGTTGACCATCCAGGTGAGGAAACTCAACATCAGTAATTGTCTTAAAACATATTGGAAGATGATTTACATACTACTTAATTCTTATATATTTATTTACATATGCAGCAGATAAGTTTAAAATTTTACATATTATATATATATACTCATAGCCACAGGCGATGGTTAGTCATCCCTCACGGAGCTCATCGTTGTTAGAAGATGCTAACATTTAAAGTAGGACGCGGGACAAGCATTAGCACATCCCTCGCGAAGCTTGTAAATAAATATATTCTTATATATTTATTTACATATGCAGCAGATAAGTTTAAATTTTTACATATTACATATATATACCCATAGCCACAGGCGATGGTTAGTCATTCCTCATGGAGCTCATCGTTGTTAGATGCTAACATTTAAAGTAGGATGCGGGACAAGCATTAGCACATCCCTCACGAAGCTTGCCACTGTTAAGTGCTAACAATTATAGTAGGGCGTCGGATGATCATTCACACACATCGCACAGAGCTTGTCGCTGTCGAGTGCCAATACGTCCCATAGGCCACAAGCAAAAGTTAGAAACCCCTCACAGAATTTGTCGTTCTTGAGTGCTAACTTTTAAAGTAGTGTGCAAGACGATCGTTCACCCACACCTCGCAGAGCTTGTCGTTGTTGGCTGTCGATACTTCTCATAGGCCACTTGACGATCTTTGCATGGAATGATAGTTTTTAGCCATTCATGAAGTCTGTTTTCCAAGCATAATTGTGTCAGCTCCTTGAGTGTGATTGCATCAGTTCTGCGAACATGATTACGTTAGTTCCTCTAGCGTAATTATGTCAGTTCCCCCGCGTGATTGTATCAGTTCTTTGAGTGTGATACTTTAGTTCCCTGAGAGTGATTGTGTCAGTTCCCCGAGTGTGATTGTGTTAGTTTCTCAGCCAGATCTAGGACTAGTCTGACTCTTCCGTTGTTCGCCTCAAGCCGCTCTCTTAGATCTTGCTCGTCAAAAGCTGCGGCGGAGAGTAGCATCTGTTGTGATTGTTGTATTTAACCGGTAACATGTCTTCCATTCCGTGGGACAACATAAAAGGGGATTTTCTGGTGGACGTGTACGTTGTTGTTCGGGTGTCCCAGAGTACCGAAGGGATCAGGCCTACCCATTTTGCCCCTTGCTCCTACCATTTTCCTTAGCAAATTTAGGATGATTGGTTTGCAGCCTCAACATGTTTGTTAGTTCGAGAGTGATGTACGAAAGCAAACTTGAGGTTGATCTCTTGACTCTTACAGAAGTCTTGAATTCCTTTGTCAGTGAATTGAGTCTTATTATCTGTAACTATGATGAGAGGTAACCAGTATCAATAAATCAGAACAGCTTAGATGAAGTTACTGACTACTTCTATCGTTATGTATGAGAGGGTCTTTGCCTCTACCTACTTGGAGAAATAGTCGACGACCACAAATAGAAACTCTTGTTGTTCTTTTGACAGAGGAAAAAGTCCCAGAATGTTGATGCTCCACATGAAAAATGACTAAAGACTAACGATCGGGTGGGATGACCGATGGCTCAATGGTCCATATATCTGACATTGTGTACAACTTCGGCAATATTCTTTAGTGTCCTTGAGTAAGCTTGGACATACATAACATTGCCATTGATTTCAACGAGATAGCGTGTTTCCTCTAGAATGGCTCCCACATTCCTTGTCATGAACTTCTCGAAGTATGTCTTCAATCTTGTCCTTCCCAAGGCATTTTAGGTATAAGGACGTGGTCGACCTCCTGAAGAGTTTTCCTTCGATTAGTATGTCTTGGGCAACATTATATTTGAATTCTCTATGATTGGTGACTTCTTTGATGATCACCTACGTATTTAGGTATCAGATTTATGAGCTCATCCAGCTTTTCTTCTCCTCCGATGTATCTTCATTGCTAGTGGTTCTTATTTTAAGGGTCGATCGAGTCTTTTAGGTAGCCCCTCTTCTATATGGAGGCCTTCGGGATAAGAGGTTGGCGAACTGATTTTCCTCCATTTGGACAAGTTCGAATCTGAAGCTGATAAAGAGATCGATCTTCATTTTCACCTTCCATAGGTACTTCGCCATACTCTTGTCCCTAGTTTCAAATTCTCGGTTTATCTGGTTCACTATGAGTTGTGAATCGACCTTTACCATTATGTGAAGGACTCCCAGCTCTGAGGCTAGGTGAACTCTTGCAATCAAAGCCTCATATTTTGTTTGGTTATTAGTCAATGAAAAATTTACTACTGTTAAGTGGTAGACGTTTTCCCCTACAACGCTGCACAAGAAAACTCCAAGTCAAGCACTTGATTGTCGGATGACCCATCAATTAACAGAGTTCAAGTCAATTCATCAATCGTTGGATCCCCGTTAATCCTTCATGGTTCAGAGAAATCTACAACAACTTGTGTTTTTATTGTCTTTCGGGGGATAGAAGATATCATACTCGCAGAGTTCTGCGGGTCATTTGAGTAGTCGACCGAAATGCTATTGCCTAGTTAAAACATATTTTAGTGGGTGATTTGTAATAACCTGTATGGGGTGTACTTGAAAATATAATCAGAGCCTCCATGCTAAAGCGACCAAGGTGAAGGTTATTGTCTCCATTATGAGATATCAGAGTTCAGCGCCTTTGAGAACTCAGCTGGTGTAGTACACTAGATGTTGCTTTCCAAGCTATTCTCTGACCAAGACTGAACTGACGGCTTCGGGGCCGACCCCGAGGTAAAGATAAAGCTTTTCCTCTCTGAAGGAGGGGGGAGAGGCGAGGAACTGCTTGAGGTTCTTGAAGGCCTCTTCGCATTCCAGTGTTCATGCGAAACATTTTGCTCTTCTGAGTACCTTAAAGAATGAGGCACACTTATGACCTAACTTGGAGACTAATCTACTCAAACCAGCAATCCAACCAGTTAGCTTCTAAATTTTTTGGGTGTTTTCCGGAGGGGGGGTGGGGATCTTTTCTTGATTGGCCTTTATGTCTTTAGGGGTTAGCAAATACCACAGGAATTTGCCCGTCGCAGCCCCAAAAATGCATTTCAGTGGGTTTAGTTTTATATTAAACATTTTCAAATGTTAGAAACGTTTCTTTTAAATCCTCAATGTATTGTTTAATCGACAAACTCTTAACCAATACATCATCGACATACATCTCATTGTTCTTTCCTTTTTTACTTGCAAATATTACATCATCGACATACAACACATGAGACGTTGGTAAGTCGCTCCAGTAAGCCCAAAGGGAATTACATTATAACAAAAAACTTTCTAACAAATAATAAAAGAGATTTTCTCTACTTTAGCTGGGAGCGTTAGTAAAATCATTAGAGGGGGATAAGAGTTTGAGGCTTGAGGAAGAGCTGTAGTCTAGCATCATTCGTGTCGTCATCAACCACCACCTATCGATCGTCGCCATTGTAACCCGTTCATTGCAACGAGTTCATTTGCACGTCGACATTGTAATTCAGAAGACTTTGTAATCATTTCTCGCATGTAGGATAAATCATCTCTATAATTATCAAATTATAGTAGATTTTTGCAACAAGGTCATACCCCATGGTTTTTTCACTTTACTACTTTTTCGCGACAAAACTTCTGATATTTCTACTAGTTATTTTCTTTTATCTGAGTGTGTGTTGAATTCTCACGCAACGCTAAGTCGATAATTTATTATTCAGCCATTGTGAATCTCCTAGTGCGTGTCAGTTTTCATGTGATGTTAAAGATTTGAACCAGTAAATCAAAATGTTCTGCTGTTAGATACGAGGATTCATAATAATTATGCGGTATATATGTAAATGCCCCATTTTCTTAATTTCTAGAAATAATAGTCAAATATAGAGAAACTTTGGGGTGACTTACATGAGTTACATTCAAATCTATAAAAGTAGTGCATATACTTTTTTTATAATAATTAAGTTTTGTATTTATGTTTGCCATGATCAAATATTGAGAATTTGATAAGAGTGAAAACCAAGTGTTTGAACAAATGGTGATAATTAGAGCGTATGCAAAACCCCATGTTATATTTAAGGTGTTTTGTATGCGGTTGCCCTAAAAATTTATATTATGGGATCCACTTTCATAATTGCATCGGATTTTTATCCTAAACAAAATTTAATGGAATTTCAATTCACTAATTTCAGATTATTTTTTAAAATTCATTGGGTACAAAATTAAATTTAAATTCAGTGCAAATTCTAATTTTATCAATCTGATTATTTTTTAATTTTAAAAAGATGTATTTCAGTAATGCAGATGGCACATTACACTCAAATTTGCATGAAATTTGCATGGGATGTTAAGGGCTGATATGAATGAGGATGTCACTTCTGAAATTTTACTCTTTGCAATCTTTTGATCTGAAGTTACATAACACTTTCATGCTACTGATAGGTGACGAGATTCAAATGTGGCGGCTTTGTCCTCGGCATGGCGATGAACCATTCCATGGCTGACGGCCTCTCTGCCGTCGAGTTCCTCCATTCCTGGGCTGCAATCGCCACTGGTCGCCCACTCTCTCTCCCCCCGTTTCTCGACCGCTCCATCTTAACCGCCCGCCGCCCGCCGGCTGCCGAATTCCCCCACCCGGAGTTCTCCGACCTCACTGCCTCTCTCTCCATTTCCGACCCATTCTCCTCCCTCCCCGTCATCCACAAAAGCTTCACCTTTGACGCCCAAAAACTCTCCCGCCTCAAGCTTCTCGCCACAGCCAATGGCGACTTCCCGCCGCCGACCACCTTCGCCGCCCTCACCGGTTTGGTTTGGCGCGCCCGAACCAAAGCCCTCAATACCCCGTCGGCCGACCCTACGAAGCTTCTTTTCGCGGTCGACTGCCGGAAACGGCTCAACCCTCCCCTCCCGGTCGGGTATTTTGGTAACGGGATCGTCTTCGCCTGCTGCATTTGCCCGGCCGGGCAGCTGGTTGACAGGCCGCTGGCCAACGCTGTTCGCATGGTCCAAACCGCGGCTCGAGATATCACGGACAGGTTCGTTAGGTCGGCCGTCGACTATTTCGAGCTGACCCGAACTCGACCCTCATTGGCTGGGACGCTGATGTTGACGGATTGGACCCGGCTTGGATTTGGAGCTACAGATTTTGGCTGGGGTTGCTCGGATCAGACCGGACCGGCGGAGCTCCCTCAGCGGGAGGTGGCGCTGCTGTTGCCACTGAACAACGGAGGTAAGGGAACCTGTGTAGTTCTGGGACTCCCGGCCACGGCCATGGGCGCGTTTGAGGATATGATGTACTTCTAATTATAAATGCAACATATTATAATTATGTTGAATATGCAGCAGCTATTATTCATGGGCTTCCTTAATGTTTTACGTACAGAAAATGCATATTTATCAGATATTCATACTGTGTTTAGTATTTAATTATGTTTGTTTTATAAAATAGTAAACATGTTTTTTTAACCATATTTATTTGATACATAGCTAGTTTTCGGAAAAAAAAGCCATAAGTTTATATTATCACCCTTGAAAAAAATCTCTCTTTCACTCTCTCTATAGATAAAAGATAGCATATATATATGTATGTGTTGAATCTAGGAATTTTCTTTCAAAATACAAGCCTCAAGAGTTAGAGCCAGGAGAAGAAATCGAGAGAGAGGAGAAGTGTTGGTTGTTAATAGCAAGTCCAGGGGACTTTATTCGTTGTCAAGCTTCCTGTTTATCAGAGGTCTCATTGTACAATTACACAAAAAAAGTATGGTTATAAAAACAGTCTTTAATTACAGAAAAGAACGATTATGAAAATTGCCCTTAATGTAATCAACGTGCTTATTAATGATAAATTTATATTATAATTTGAACTCGAATATGACAATAATCAGTCGGTGAACATGACTTGGTTTGGTTGGCCAAAGTGGCATGCCTCGAGGAAGTTGTTCAATCGAGATATGAGCGGTCAGTCAGTTGGTTGCATTCAATCGGCCTTTAGGGAGCTCCGAGGGGTAGGACCGTATCCTACGATGGTGGTCTTCATCAATATATTAACCTTTCAATTGATTGGTTCTAATTATGTTTCTTGAATGTAATGATTCGATCGTTGTGTTATCATCCTTAGCCGTTCGATTGCTTAAGTTAGGTTGGGTTTTATTGTGAATTTCAATATTTGAGTGAGAAAAAAAAAAAAAGGGATGGAAGAGGTTGCTAGATATTTGACAATATTTAAGCTAAAATTGGCTTCAAGCCATAGAACTATTAATAACTAATTGCCCATTAGAAAATAACAATTATTATATAAAATTAATAAATATTTTATCTCAAAAATACTTGACTTAATTTTATGCATCTCTTTTATAGGAAAAAAATATTGCATCACCAATGGCTAAACCCTTAGAAAATATTGCTTGGTCGGCCGCCACCTCACTTGTAGATGAGATATATGCCGATCTCTCGCGTGGCTATTCTCATCCTCCGGTGACAAACACAATATTTTCTCCTTTAATAGGTCAACATTCCATGCCACATACCATTACGTCTTACCATCATCTTATAAAATTTTCCTTGGAGCAGTATTTTTCTATTAGACAATAGACCTATGCATTCCTCCACTTCAAATGTGCCTTAAAAAAGAGAAAAAAAGAAACAAAAAAAAAAAAGAGTTTTTTTTTTATGAGCATTCGAGCAAAAAAAATAATTGAGCAAAAAGAAATTAGTCTTACATTTCTATTTCGCCCTTCTAATATTTCATTGATTTCTAAACATTCAAGAATAAGAAAATCATTTAATATTTTCTACCAATTTTCATTTATTTAATCACATTAATACATGCCACTCGATTCTTTTGGACATACATACCTCACACCTATACTTCAAATTTTACCTATATGCCACCCCACATACATATACATGAAAATATGACAGTTTAAACATAGGCATAAAAAAAATTTGGTGATATAAATATAAGAAAATAAAATTTATGCATTAGACAACTAAATATATACCACTCAATTCTTAGGAAAAAAATTGCGTATGTTAATCGTACGCAGAGATGTGTACGAAATAGGATACACGGGCGTTATACTGGGGTTACAAATGTGTTATAACTTCCTTGTAACTTTCGTGTAACTCACCTGTAACCTGTGCTTTTATTTTATACATTGTTATCCATTAGGGTTACAAGGTTACAGCGGGGTTACACGAGAGGTACAACGGGGTTATAACCCCCTTGTAAACCCCGTGTAACCCCCATGTACCCTTTTATGTACGTAACTCCTGCGTACGCTTGACGTGCGCAATTTTTTTCCCAATTATTAAGTGCACATTAATTTTTGCGGAAATTTACACACATTAATGTTTACGCACATAAAAATTATTCAAGAAAAGCTTGCCAAGTTTATTAACACAAGAATCATGTATAAACATATTTAATTATAAAAGAAAAATCACAAAGTAATTAAGATTCTTCAAATTATGAATTTGATGTTCAAAGGTGATCTATGGATGCAACACATAGATTTAATTTTGTTAATTTTAAATCCGCATCCAACTCGATATTAGACGGATAATAAGTTTAGAATTTTTATAAATAAAGCATAAAAATTATGCCAACTATATATATTTTTCTATTTTTTTTTAATTTCTAATTATTTCATTTGCATCTTTCCTTCGAGTTTTTCATAATTCAATCCAACATATTGTATTCATGATTTCAAATATCTGTCATTTCTAATAAGCAACTATTATATTATCATCAATGTTGCTTCTTTATATTTTCATTTTTTCTAAGGAACCATCAAGTTTAAATAAAGGGGGTACGTGAACAATAAATTTGAATGTCTGCTAAGACGCACTAACAAGCATCTGGCCGACAAACATGGCAACTAACAAGAATGTATCTGGCCGGTACTTGTTTTAGCCCGTCACCAAAGCAAAAATAAAAATGGCATTCTATTAGGGAAATCACGTAGCTCTCTACGCATAATTGATGTAATTAGTCCAAGTGCAAGCAATAATCCTAGTCTACAGCACATACAATGCATCGACAAGAAGAAGCTTCAGAGTACTTAAGGTCAAAGGCTTGAAAGCATTGATAAAGTACCAGCAGACAGAACGCATAGAAAATATCCAGGTTTTATAGTTGGAAAATATGCAGATAATTTAGCAAACTATGTGAGCAGAAATGGTCAAGAAATATTCAATTAATCCTCAGAAACTAAAACACTCAGTGGGAGTACCTCTCAAAATGAGATTCATGGCAATGTGGATCGAGCCATTCACGTGGAGAATTCTTCGGCATTGTGTTGCTGCTGACCTTACCACCTACAAGCTCCCGTATAGTTTGAACCTTGTTCTCGCGACCTGTTCCGGAATATTTATGGTCAGCTTCCTTCAGTTTCTGCTTGAATCTCTGCTTGCGCCCTGCCGCATTCAGATCTTGATGTTTAACTTGCGAAGGAGGAGCACCGTGTGGTCCCAGGTAGATCTTTTCCTCTGCCTTGACACCCTGTTTTTGGAGGCAGTGGAATATCATGGTTTAGTTTCTGTGCAGAAAGTGGGAGTAAAATGTGAAACTTACAGAGAAAAGTTGCTTCGTAAAGAAGAACCTTTGAAGGAGGCTTGAGATCTTTTAAATTTGGGTCATCCCAATCACTAAGACCAGAGTCTCCAACAGTCAGGCTTGGTATCACAAATCCTTCTGTATCTGAAAAATACTATATCTATTTGATAATTGCAACAAACAAGCCTCGTTTTATATAATATTGTATCTTACACCGCACAAGGATTTGCAAGTCTACAAAGGGCTAGTAACCATATAACATCTATTACAAATTTTAAGCAGCATGGATGTGATGCAAATGTTCCCCTTTCTAGAGAAACAAAACATAGAGATGGCAAACCAATAAAGCTTATTATTGGAGAAATTAAATGAGAAAACAATGGCAACTTCTTTTTTATTTTTATTGTCAAATAATTGACAATAAAAAGTCCGTCTCAACACACACAAAACTATCCAAACCAATTAGATATGGAACATTTCCTGCCGAGCATTGATCTGATGAACCGGATACGGAACACAGCATAAAACATTTATGAGTTCTGTAGATAATCATATGCCATTGCTAGCTGGTAAGCAAAAATATGGGGTCACAAAAACTCTCCTTGGCTAATTTATCGTGCATCACGGATAAATTTTTTAAGCAAGGTTTTAGAATTCCATTAGGAATTGGTGTAGGATTCATAAATCATAGTACGAGCCCAACTTTGGTAGCTCTGGTCCAAGGTTCACGTGATAAGAAATTTTGAAACAAAAGCTCCCAAAAAAAACAAAATCTCTAATATATTTTAACTGACAAAGCATTTGTCTTATAAATAATTAACGCTATAGATTTTCAAAAAGTAGGAGTAATTTTAAGCCCAAATTATAATTTTTTATACCAAATAAATAAAAAAAGGAAGTAGAAAATTTTGTTGGATTTTACAGGATTTTATATCCGATTCCATGTTGCTTTAGGAGTCCTCTCCTATCGCAATTTTTCAAATTAAATTTTAGAGGTTGAAGATTTTATATCCGATTCTGCGTTGCTTTAGGAGTCCTGTCTTATCGCAATATTTCAAATCTAATTCTAGAAGAACAGGATTCTGACATCCGATTCTGCATTGTTTTGCAATGATCCAAATATCAAATTTTAGAGGTTGAGGATTTTATATCCGATTCTGCGTTGCTTTAGGAGTCCTGTCTTATCGCAATATTTCAAATCTAATTCTAGAAGAACAGGATTCTGACATCCGATTCTGCATTGTTTTGCAATGATCCAAATATCAAATTTTAGAGGTTGAGGATTTTATATCCGATTCTGCGTTGCTTTAGGAGTTCCCTCCAATCGCAATCTTTTAAATCAAATTCTAGAGGAAGAGGATTCCGACATCCGATTCCGCATTGCTTTGCAATCATCCAAATATCAAATTTTAAAAGCTGAAGATTTTATATACAATTCTGCATTGCTTTAGGAGGGATGTGCAGCTTATCTTCTTGTTATACACGACTACACAAGCATAAAATAAATTTGATATTTATAAAGTGTTAACCGGCTTTCATACCATTATTTTGCATATGATCCAATCCTTCGCATGAAGAGAGATTAGGTTGACCAAAAGAGAAGTTAGATTTTTTTGTTGAAAAATAGTATAAATTTGTATCAGGGAAAGAAGGGAAAACTGGCAAATATGCTGAGATTCACATAAGTAGGGTTGTCAATTTGGTTCGTTGTTCGTGAACAGCTCCTGTTCGGCTCGTTCGTTAAGCCTAATGAGCCGAACACGAAAAAATTTTTAAGCTCGAAATGTAAGCGAGCCGA